GTGGAAGCGAAACCAGAAGAAACAGCCAACGAGCCGACTGATAAAAAGGTTGCTCCGAAAGACGAACAAAAGCCAACTCAGCCGGCCACCGACCCCGCCAAGGTCGAAGAGGCCAAAGCGAAACCTCAAGGTCGGTGCAATATGCTAACAAATGTAGCAGTGTTTCTCTATCGTTTTGTGCTTCCTAAAATTTAGACGTTAAACCTGCTGCACAACAAAAGGTTGAAGAAGTGAAAAAGGTGGAAGCGAAATCAGAGGAAACAGCCATGAAACCAACTGATAAAAAGGTTCCTCCAAAAGACGAACAAAAGCCAACCCAGCCGGCCACGGAGCCCGCCAAAGTCGAAGAGGCCAAAGCCAAGCCTCAAGGTTTGTGAAGTTTTCTCGCAAGTATGTAGGGCTGTCGGAATATTAGTACGCAGTGTTTCATGAAAATGCTGGTGTTTACTCAGAATATGCTGTGTTTGGTGTATTCGCGTGGATTAGCCGTGTTATGCAGACAGATCTTTAAGGATGCGCGCTCCTTCCAAAGACAAGATGTCGATAGATAAGGTAGTAACGTTCTGGTGAAGAGTGCACCAGACCCAGCAAACATTTGTCTAATGCATTTTTGAGAATATTGATCGTTTTGATATTGGGGCATCTCTTCAAATATTATAATGTTTGTCTACCTTTTCGGGCATTCTGACGTACATTTAGATGTGAAACCTGGTGCTCAACAAAAGGTGGAAGAAGTGAAAAAGGTGGAAGCGAAACCAGAGGAAGCAGCCAAGAAGCCGACTGATAAAAAGGTTGCCCCGAAAGACGAACAAAAGCCAACTCAGCCGGCCACCGAGCCCGCCAAGGTCGAAGAGGCCAAAGCGAAACCTCCAGGTCGGTGCAATATGCTAACAAATGTGGCAGTGTTTCTCTATCGTTTTGTGCTTCTTAAAATTTAGACGTTAAACCTGCTGCACAGGAAAAGGTGGAAGAAGTGAAAAAGGTGGAAGCGAAACCAGAAGAA